ACATCTTATTTATTTCCAGATGTGACAGGAATACAGGAAGTAAACGAGCCCCAGGCTGTCACTGTGTCCCAAATGATCAGGCAATCTGGAAAAGATGATTCAGGATCTATTCATTTTCAAGGCTGTGAAAGAAAAAGTAGAACAAGGAAAGCATATTACAGCTTACCATGCTGTGTCAGCCTTAGTCAGAGAACTTATTAAACAAAATTTTATACTTCATTTACTTTGATAGGGCAAATGCTCATATTTCAAAATAACTTTCTAACCTCAGTTAAAAACCCTACTCATGAGGTGTGACTGATTTCAATTTTAAATAAAAAAATGTAGTAAATGAGTCACTTTCCATCTAATTTAGAAAGACCTGTGTAGTTCCAGATAACTTTGTTCTTCATAAAGGTATCTCATTTTCTCTCTGCCAAATAACATTACATTAAATTAAATTGAAAATAAAATTATAAGAGAAAGAGTAAAGTAGATATTGGTTTGGGCTAATGGACATTGTTGAAATTTCTCTGTGTTTTAACTATTTTAGAGAACAAATCACACACACACACACACACACACACACACACACACACACACACACACACACGTTTCACAAGCCCAAACTGTGCACTCAACTGAAGGTTTTATTTGCATCTAGGTAGACATTCTATTATGTACAGTGCAGGTTTGCCTCAGAGACAAGTTAAGCAGAAATGCTCTGCTTGTTTTGGCCACATATGGAGCTCAGAAATGGATGTGGGGCCAGGGAAAGAAAAAGGGAAAATCTACTGATCCTCACAGGATAACTTTGAATGTCCTGGTAGTTTATGTCTTCACATGTGCCCACATAGCTCAGCCATCCTCTAAGTCATCAGTCCCCAACCTTTTTGACATCAGAGACCAGTGTTCCTATGAGAATCTAATGCCTGATGATCTGAGGTGGGGCTGAGGCAGTGACGCTAGCGCTGGGGAGCAGCTGCAAAAACAGATGAAGCTTCTCTTGCTCGCCTACTGCTCACCTGCTGCTGTGTGGCCCAGTTCCTAACTGGCCACAAACAAGTACTGGTTCACAGCCTACAGGTTGGGGACCTCTGCTCTAAGTCACTCTAAGGAATTAATTTGTGAGCAGGCTAAATCGAGTTCCTGAAGTCACCCACATTGTGTCCCCTTCACTCATGTGTCTTCCTCTGTGGTGACCTTAAAAGCAATGGGTCCCCAAATCCTGTCCCAAGCCCACTGCTCTTCTCTTTTTATAATTTGTCCTTTTTCACATTCACCTTTAACCATGGCTTAAACTTTGCCTCATAGTAACGAACTCCCAGATCTTCTACTTCAACCAGTGCCTTTCTTTTTTTCGTGCATTCCTAACTGCCTGGCAAAGAGTCCCACTTCTATGAACAATTATCACCTCCAACTTAGGCATGTCCCATACATACTCACTGTCTTCCTCTGCATAAGCAGCCCTCCTAATTTCCTGTTTCTTACAAACAATATTATAATGCTTTTGAAGATACTTTTTATTTTCTTCTTCCTTTACATCATACCTAACGAATCACAAAATTTCATCAAATCTTCCTTCATGAGAATCTGTATCCCTTTTGCTAAAATTGGGACAAATCCAGGAAGGAAGGAAGACAATTGTGTATCTTCATGATATGGAAGAAACCAGGAGGTAGATATCACCTGGAATGCTAGAGACAGATGCAATCCAAAGGTCAAGTGTAGAACAGAGCCAAAGAGGGGAGCCAAAGGTTGGTACTAGAATAGTAAGATCAGCCATCCATCAGCCCCATAGGACTGGTGGAAGGACATAGTGAGAGGGAGGACATAGTGAGAGGGAGGACATAGTGAGAGGGAGGTCAAGAAGTAAGGAGCAGGAACCAGGTCTGTCTTAGTACTCTTTCAAGCCCTAGAACCTAGCTCATTGCTGGTTCATTGTAGGCACTCAGTAAATGCCCTATGTTCCCAAACGTGATGCATTTGTTATAATCCTTCTTTCATCTTTTCTTTAAGACCTCATATTAAGCAATGCTTTCTCATTTTTATTATTTCAGAACACCACATAGTGTTTGGGGACAACATGTTAGAAAAGAGCAACATTCATCAATGCTAGTTTGGGGTGTCTAGCTAGATATAATGGGTAAATAATAAATAATAAATAATGGATAAATAAGGAAGCATGAAATTTTAATAAGATTAATAATAATTTGTGGGGTTTTGACTTAATAATTCAAGTGTTAGATGTCATTGTAAAAAGGCTTTTTAAAAATTGTTTTAAAAACAAGTAATATCAACATCAAAAATATTCATCTACCACGTAGTTTTATTTTTGATGGTCATATAGTTTGTGGCTTGGTGACTAAGTCATAGAGGTTCTAAAAATACTTCATCTCAAACAATGTGGAGGAAACTGCAGTGGTGGAATAAAATGATGCTTGTGTTGACAAAGACTATGTTAGTGAGAAAACCAGCATTTCTGTTAACATAATTTTACATAACATGGCATTCTAAATATATGCATAAGATAATACATTAAATATCAGTAGACATTTGCCAATTTCAATTTCCTGTAAATCACTAAAAGTTATATGTTCTAAACAGTAAAAATAGATTCCCCATTTCCCAGTTGAGATAATCCATAAGAAATGTTGTTAAATGAAATAATGAATTAAGGTATAAATACTTATTAAAAGCTAAAACTTAAGCAGTAGCATTAGGAATAGCTTATTCACTAATCCATTGAGCCAACACTGATTGAGCTACTATGTACAAATTAATTAAACAGGAATTAGAATGGTTTGGTACTAAAAGTCTATTTTCCCCTGGAATGTTGCCATCTAAAATAAAAGAGGAAAATACTTTAGTATTTTATTATAAAAAATTTCAAAAAAAGTGAAAAATTATTTAACAAATATCTATAATATCCATCTAGATGTAACAGTTAATAACATTTTTCCAGAATTGTTTCATGTATATATTTTACTTTTGATGGACCATTTGAAAGAAAATTGTCGTTGTCATAATGCTTTACCATCCCCCTTAATAGTTCGGTATGCATCTACAGAGATTAAAACATTCTCCCATGTAACTTTAATACTGTCACTTCTAACAAAATTTATAAATCCTTACTAAGATATATTTCCAGTCCACATTTGGATTTCCACAATGGTTCAAAATATGTATTTTACCAGTTTTTTTTTTAACAAAAACAAAAGTTTCAATGAAAGAACACACACTGCATTTGATTGTGTCTTTTAAGTCTCCTCCTCCACTCTTATCTTTTTTTCCTGCTTAACACAAGTATAATTGACAAATAAAATTGTATGTTTGAAGTGTACAATGTATATTTTGACCTAAATATATGTAGTGAAATTATTACCACAATCAAACTAATGAACATATCCATCACTTTACCTAGTTAAAAATTGTGTGTGTGGTGAGAAAACTTTAGATCTACTGTTTTAGCAAATTTCTATACTGTACAGTATTAACTACAGTCACCACACTGTACATAGATACCCAAAACTTATTCATCTTATTACTGTAGTTTTGTACTTTTTGACCAACGCCTCACCATTTCCCTATCACCATTCCATTCTCTGCTTCTGAATTCAGCTTTTTTTCAATTCCACATATAAGTGAGATCATACAGTATTTGTCCTGTGTCTGGCTTAATTCGTTTAGCATAATGTCCTACGGGTTCATCCATGTTGTAGCAAATGGCAGGATTTCCTTCTTCTTTATGGCTGAATAATATTCTTGTGTGTGCATAACATTTTCTTTATTCATTCATGCATTAAATGACATTTAGATGGTTTCTATATCTTGGCTATTGTGAATAATGCTGCACTAAACATAGGAGTGAAGATATCCTTCAAGATACTTATTTAATGTCCTATGGATATATACTATGGATTTAATGTCCTATGGATATACATATAGAATTTCTATTTCTTAATTTTTTGAGGAAACTTCATACTATTTTCCATAATGGTTGTACCAATTTTATAGTCCCACCAATTGTGTACTAGGGTTCCCTTTTCTCTACACTCTTGCTATCTCTTGGTTTTTGATGACAGCCACCCCAATAGGTGTGAAGTGATATCTCATTATTCACAATTACATTATTCAATGCAATTTTGATTTGCATTTCCCTGATAGTTAGTAATGTTGAGCACCTTTTCATATACCTGTTGGCCATTTTTATGTCTTCTTTGGGAAAATGTCTATCTGTTTAGGTCCTTTGCTCTTTTTTCAATTGGGTTATTTTTTTTTTTTTTTACTTGTATGAGTTTCTTTTATGGTTTGGATATTAATCCCTTACCAGATATATGGTTTGCAAATGTTTTCTCCCATTCACAAGTTGCTTTTACATTTTGTTGATCATTTCTTCTGCTGTGCAGAAACTTTTAGTTTGATGTAGTCCTATTTATTTATTTTCACTTTTAAAAATCAAGCCAGTTGTCATTCAGAATATTACATATTGTGGATTATTTTATTGTTTCCTCATGAAGTGATTTACCTGTTCTTTTATCCTGTTATTTCTTGTAAAATGGAAGTGAGATATAAAAACTTAACTAAATTCAACTTAAATGTTTCATCAGTATATTGACTGTTTCATCATGATAAGAGCATAGAGTGGCTTGTTTTTCCAACATTTATGATAAAATTTGATCACCTGGTTAAGGTAGTAACCTCAGGTTTGTGACTAGGTAGTAACCTGAGTGATATTTTGGCATCTTGCAAAAATCCCATTCCTCATTAGTTTTTTACTTAATGGACTTAGAACCTGTTGAGAATTTTTACTTGAGTCAATTATTTTATCAGGGGCTTGTAAAATAAATTTACATTTCTGATTACCCTCTTCAGTGATCAATTTCCAATTTTCTTCAAGTAGCTTTTACAATCTTAAATATGTTCTTTGAAATCTAAAAGGTTGAAAGTCCAAAATTTTAAATATCATACTTTATTGCAATTGGAGAGTGCTAATCTTTGATTTTCTTTTGTGTTCTCAGCAAAATGGGAAGCCACATTTTTACAATAAGCCAATTGTTGAATCCTTTGAGGAAGCACCTCTTCACGTTCTGGTCTTCACTTATATGGGATATGGAATTGGAACTCTATTTGGCTATCTCAGAGACTTTTTGAGAAGCCGGGGAATAGAAAAATGCAACGCAGCCGTAGAGCGAGAAGAACAAAAAGTACGTATGTGCATCTTCCTGGATCTTTGTCAATGCTATTCTTTTCTAAAGTGCTCTTTTTCATAAGTGTTGATGCACGTATGGATTCTAAAAAGAGTGAGGAGCTCAGAAAATACTCAGGGTAAATTCTATTCATCTCCACTCCCTAGGTCCCCTCCCCTGTGTGTTCATGGACTTGTTGTTTATGAATATTTACTGAGTAACTACTATTTCTCAATACTGAACTAAAGCTTTTCTCATACATTACCATACTTAATTTTTATAACAACCCCATGAAAAAGATTAAAATACTATTTTAAAGATTTAAAAAATCATAATATAAGAGCAAGGCACATGAATGGGACTGCACTCTGTCCTTCTACTTGTAAGGTAAGTATCATTTATGTTTTATCCTGGAATAGAAAAGTATGTCTGAATGAAATGTGCAATTTTTATTTCATCTAGATCAGGGCTTTTCAGCTTTGGTACTATCGATATTTTGGACTGGATAACTCTTTGGTATGGGAGGCTGCCCTGTGCATCATAGAATTTTTAACAGCATTTCTGGCCTCTACCCGCTAGATACCATTAGCACTCTCCCACACATTTGTGACAATTGAAAATGCCTCCAGACATTACCAAATATCTCATGGACTACAAAATCACCTTCGATTTAGAAGCACTGATCTTGATACTTTCAATAATTAAACTGTAAGAGTCTACATCATCCCCTTTTCGCATAGAGCTAAGAGAATAACCTGAGAAATATTCAGAGGTATGCAAAGAGCCTGCATTTTGTTAACATGTTTTCCAAACTGGTTCAAATGATTTATGATGCCATGAATCTCTTTTTTCTAAAAATTGCTTTGGAGTACTATGAGTGTGGGCATGAATCATTGACATGATGAAGTTTTAAACACATCTAAGCAAAGAAGATAGATGAGGCATGAATTTCAATGTAATTAAAGAACCTCAAATCCTATAACGTAGCAATCAGTATCCATGATAAGATAAACACTTATGACAGTAGTTCATCCATGAACAAATCATGTAGAACATTTTTTTTTAGAAATGCATTAAGTCAAGTGTATCATGTTCAGGAAAAAATCAGGCCAAGTTTTATTATTACATCTCTCCTCTTATTTAGCAAGTATTTAAGCACATGCTTTATACTGAGTAATAGGTGCTAATATACACAGAAGAAAAGACAGTTTCTACCATTAGAGAATTTGAAGTTTGGTTTGCAAAAACAGACTTGTGAGCAAAATATATGAAAAAAAAAAAAGTGATCATGGGGAGAAAGGTAATGTGGGAAACTGGAATCTGTGTCCTGTGATTCTCTTAGAAAGTCAGGAAGTTACGGTGCTGGGTCTTGAATGGTGAGCAGAATTTGCCTAGCGAGCAAGGGTGCAAAGGAAAACATTCTTAGAGGAGGTTACTGCTTGAACCAAGGCATTCATTAATTCATTAAACAAGTCAAAATTTTTTAAGCATGTATTTTGTATCTCTAATCTAGAGATATTAAAATAACAAAAGCAGATATAGTTCTTGCCTACAGGGAGCTAACCAAAAAAAAAAAGCAATTGCAATTGAATTTGATAAGACATATCATTGAGATAATTAGAGCACATCAAGGAAGTGAAGAAGAGAAACGTCGAAACTGAACTTGGTTTTCACTGAAAGCTTTTGAGAGGAGGAGAAAGTTAAATTGAGATCTGAAGTCTGAAGAGTAAGTAGTAAGGCAAAGAGTGGGGCAAGATGGGACTTAAGGAATCTTTAGGCAGAAGAAACATGGTGAGAAATGGCTCAGAGGTAAGAGAAAGCATTGTACATTCAAGGAATCAGGGAGTTCCAATGACTGGAGTATTGTGAGTGAGAGTGGGAGTATGTGGGGAGGATTGTTTGAGAGGCAAGTAGGGGCCAGACTATAATGGTTTTTTATAAGCCATCGATATTTATTATAAGAATAATGAGGAGGCATTGAAGGATTTCAGGCAGAGGAATGCAGATTTACAGATTAGAAAGATCATGTTCACTGCCTTTTGAAAAAAAGATTGCAGGAGAAACCAGTTAGGAGGCTGATGCAGAACTTCAGGTTAAAAAAAATCTTGATCAGAACCTGGACTGAAACCAAGGTAATGATAACAGGGATGGTGATAAGCGATAAGATCAAGAGATGTTTAAGAAGATAGGCATGATCGGTTTGATGAGGAATTACAAAGATGGACAAATTAAAGACCTCTGGAGAAAAGTCTTGGACATTGTGACATCTTCAGTATATCTTAAGCAGATTAACATTAATCAATGCCACAGAAGTAGGTGAGATCTCCCAAGGAAGGTCAGAGAAAAAAAATAGAAAGGGTGAGAAGAGAACAAAAAATAATAGATGTTAGAGATGGAATTCCAATTCTAGACTAGAAGCAAAATGGCAATAGAAAAGCTGTATAATAGTTTGAGAAAGAGGTCATTTGGGCTTGAACTGGAAAAGAAATAGATGAAATGAAGAAAAGGGAATTAATTTTAAAGATATTTGGGAGGTGGAATCAACAAGTCTTGGTGGCTGAGTGTATAGAATATAAGAGGGAGGAAACCAGAGCAATCCCTAATTTCTACTTTGATCAGATAGGAAGATGATAGTGGCATACCTATCACAATGAAATGGTCTTATTTTGGCAAAAAGATGGCTACGAACACAGTTTTGAGGATATAAAGTTTTTTGAATGGTAAAGGCTTTAGAAGCAGTTGTACAAGTTTCCCAGTCCTAGCAGAGATGATAATGAAACTGGGAAATTGGGAGGAGAAATCGAGTTCCTCTTGGGCATGCTCACAAGGATCTCCATAGCTCCTCCTTGACACCAGCTTGTTTTGCTAGAAGCTCTTATATCCAATCTGCCTGCACCTCAAGTGTAAGTAGCATGCATCATAAATCAGCCCATTCCAGAATATCTGTTGGAGCAAAGGGTGAGTCAAATATAAATTTGTCAAGTGTGGCATGTCATGGCTGGCTTAGGCTTCAGATCTGACATCTATTTTCTAAGCCGTTTCAATATTTTTGCTCTATCAACCCAAGGAGGCTAGTCATTTTGTTTTTTTCTAAAGCATGTCTTACATTTCAAGCAAATATATTGATATATATGCAAGTTGGTTCTCAACAATGTGGACTCTAAGATGGAGGGTTGAGGGCAGGAAGATTATTGAAGTGTGCTTCTGGGATCAAGATGGGGTAGGTGAATTACAATACAGTTATAGCAAAGGCAACGGTGGATCCCACTGAGGGAATTCTCTAGATTAGGTACCCTTCAGAAGAACTAAGGCAAGGGAGTTGATCCTTCAATGATGATAGATAAGGGCTGCCACCAGAGGGGAATGTGGTCTTGAGCCGGGCAGCAACCTTCATTGAGCTGTCAGCCTCCAACACTCTCAGCTCACGGCCTGTACTGCAACACCTGTCACTACTGCTGTAAGAACTGCTGGAACCACCTCCCAGGGGGAGACATTATATTTAATAAATCTGTGTCTTTTATTTCTCTATAAAATAAGTTATGTCCTTCCTGTTTGATCTCTGTGAAGTGGAGATCAGTCAATTGACTCACCTTAGTAGATATTCCTTTTACATGGCACCCTTTAGAGATGTAGAGGCTTTCTGAGTAACAAGTTCTAATAAACTGCATTAGCTGCAAACATTTTTATGGGACTCATTCACTTCACTCTATCTTCAGACTGATTTTTATCCTCTTAATACTGCACCCAGCCCCATGTTTCTGAGAATATCCTTGCTCTGTATTACTAAGCTATCTGAGGGACATCTTGAATTCTTTTTCTGGAAACATGGAATGTGCTGCTTTTCAATAACTCATAGTTCTTTTTAGCAGAAATTAGCATTATTCTATTGTAAAAGGTGATCACTGGGAATGCATAATAGATTGCCCCATAAGACAAACCAACCATTGTTGATACCACGAAAGAGCACATTCATGAAGTGGTGGTAGACAAGAGTGATTATGTTTTTTAAATATCATAAATGGATATTCTTATTTACGATTATTCTCTTTAACTCTATATTCATTTAAAATTTTATCTTATTTTTGACAAAATTTTATATATTCAAGGTGTACGACCTATTTTTATATACATAGTGAAATAATTGCTACGGTCAAACTAATGAACATGTCCATCTCTTCACTCCTTTTTTCTTAATCAAATATATCATTTATTAATCCAGTTTTCCTATTTTCCCTCTCACTGGGAAGACTTCTGTCATACCAGACTATCCATTCAAACCTAAGTGTTGCCCCAAATTTAGAATCTCTTTTTGCTTTTTTTTCCTTTTTGATTTCTAGCCCAAATTCCCTGAAATTGAATCCAAAACATGAAAGTTGTGCTTATCCTCTTTTTCGGAATCTCTTGATTTCTGATTCACTTATTATAAACTAAATAAAAAGAGTAGAAAAATCAAAATCTCCCTCTAAGAGAGCACTGAAAGCACTAGAGGCCTGGGGCACCTGGAACCTCCCATAGATTCCACTAACAGTCAGAAGACAGTGGCAAGGAAAAGGACAATACAGATATAAGGTTTAAATATTTTTGCTTATATTCTCCTTTTAAATCTTAATTTTGGGGTCACATATTTTTTAAGGCAACTTTAGAGCTGAATCACAGTTTATTAAAGACTTCTAGATAAATTACTTTCTTAATGATGTAATGGTCCAACTTCGCAAAACCCAGAGGTGGATGTCAGTAAATATAATCAGATGGATGTCAAACATCATCAGAGGCTTTGAAAACTACATGCAAAGCCACATTTCTCAGTTCTTATGGTTTGGTAATGGGGTCAGCAAGACCCATTCCAGATAGCACAAGCCTGTTATAAAATATTTTAATTGCAATTTCACATTCGCATTAGATCTAGATAGTTCTCAGTGCCCTTACAAGTAAACCCCAGACATTTCTGGCACATCCCCAGAAATTTTTACTCGTACATAAAAGAAAGCAAATTGAGCAAGTTGTAGCTGTAGAAAAAT